TTTTTGTAATGGGGGGGTGGGGGGGGAGATAGGCGCGCGCGCCCACACGACCAAGTCTGTACTCTGCTCACTTCCGGTTCCGAATTGAATGTTTCCATCACGTGTGGGAACTAGAATGGCGGAAGCATAGCCTTCTGAGCCGACTTTTCCCCCAATAGAGCAAAGGCGGGGAGTTTAAGTAGTTTCCCTTTTAATGTATTAAAATAAACACTACTACTTTTCCAAAGGAGAAGAAAAAGGAGGGGGAGAGTAATTTTTCCGCTCTGGAGCACGTTCGCTCATCCTCTGCAGGGCTGTTGTTGGAGAGGGTTTGGGTTTTTTTTTTTAGGAAACCAGTTGGAAGCAGATCAATACTTGATTTTCAGGTCATAAGCCTATGTGGACTTTCCATTGAACATGCCACTTCATTGCGTAAGTTTAATGTCAGCATGTTCAGTAGATTTGCTGACAAAGAACCGAAGTGAGAAAACTCATTTATGTGTGGGTAGTATTTTTTCCACCCCTTTTGCCAAAACGGCTTTCGAAGCAGTTCAGCTGTAACGGTCACCGTAGCTCAACGTACAGTCTAAAATACCTGGCAAGAGATAAAAAGAGGGGGGAAGCGGGGTTCACATAGCACACTGCTAAAATGGGTGGCTAGTTTGTGGTCCAATGTGTTCAAAACCCAGGTAAATTGATTCAATACACCATAGTTGTATTGTTACCTAAATTCAATACACCATAGTTGTATGTAAACCTAAATTGGCATATTGGGCAAAAAGTCTTATATGCAAACTCTTGAAATTAGTTATTACACTAGTTGTTGGGAAGGAAACAGGTCAACTATTCTGAAGGAATGGTAATTGGTTTCTCATTGGAGACAACGGAGTCCTGTTGCTTCTCTCTCTGCTCTGCAACCAGAAGTGTTTGGAAACATCATTGCTCCACCTCCACCTTAATTAGCATTCAGATTTGGATTATTTGATTTGCCTGAGAGAGATGAAGAAGAGTTTGTCACTGAGAAGTGTACTATGCTGGGGAAAGGAAACCTCCCAGAAAGCATAGCATTCAATGGATGGAAGATGTTAATTGTATAGAATATGCCCTGAATAGCTCATTGGCTGCCCACTTAACAAAGAGTGATTAGAATGTTTTGTGCTGCAAAAGAGGATCCCCCCCCCACACCATTTCAAGAGATTACAGTCATTCTTAAATGAAAGAAAAATAAGTATTTTTATTGGATGCTTTCTTCCTCTTCAGTCTGCAAGGGAGGACCTGATACTACCTTGCAATGAGGGCTACTCCCAAACACGATGCATCTGCTATGGAGTCCTTGGATGAGTCCCATGTCCCATATATTGAAATAGGATTCTATAGATTAATCATATAAATAATAGGTAACTCAAAGCCATGTTACTTACTTGCTGTCACTATTTACAAGACATGATTGCCTATGTAATACATGCATATTGTGTGATGACCATTCATTAGTTTGCCATTCATTAGTTTTCATTAGATGTCAATAGTTTGCTTCCAATCATCCTAGAATTAGCCATTTCCCCCTCCCAATAATGGGATTTGGGTTGACTTACTAATTGACACATACAGGATTCCTAGTTAGCTAATTTTTGTGTGGCAATATCTTCCAGACAATTCCCTATACTACAAGCAGCAAGAAGGAGCAGCATAAAGAGTTGGCCACAAAATGAAGAAACCTGAACAGGGAGTAATGCTGCAATTCTATGCAAACTTACCTGAAAGGAATCCTGAGAACAAGATCATGATGTAAGGCTGCAGTCTTACAGGCAGTTGCCTCCCTGGCAATAAGTCTCATTGAAATGTTGTCAGTGAAATATTAGGCTTTTTTTCTTTGGACAAATCTTTGCTGGGAATCCAACCATCTCCTACTTGCAGTATAATAGGACAATAGTCTAAAACTGAGCATAGCATTTTGGCATGCAACAATATTGAAATCCATTTCCATTCTTTGGTATGCTATTTTCTCATTCCAACCTCGACATATTTTACTACCCTATAAAGCCCTATGTGGCTTGGTATCTAGTTATCTGCAGAGCAATAAATCTAAAGTCTATTGAACTGCCAGGGTTGCAAGGATTTGAACCTGGATCTCCCCAATCTAATATGCAAACCACAACACCATATTACTTTAAAAGAAATGCAGCAATGTGAAGGTAGAGGAAATATCCAATTGTAACAGAGCACTGATGGATGGGGTTTGCATGGTTCACAAGAATTTGGATTGGTGTAACCCAGTAAGCAAGAAGCCACATTTTTTAAAAAAGATGGTGGCCCATCTATTTCCACGGTACAGCAACCCAGTATACTAGGATGGGGCCCAAGACGGGCCAGATTTTCTAAATCAGCTGTTCCAATGAAGCTTGCTAATAAATAGTATGACAGCAGAGAGAGAATAGCCACTATTATAGACAGGGGCTTTGAAGACCTGGTTCTGCCACTTGGCCTGGGGTGGGGAGGGAATACCTCAAGTATGGGGATGGCTAGCCCCATAGAGGCCTCCTGTCTTCAGCCTCAGATTTTTCATCTTCTTGGACTCTCCTTTCCCTTTTTAGTAATGCTTTTAACTGATGTTTTATGTATTTATATATATTTATGTTTTTGATGTTTGTTGTGAGTCCCCCAGAGTTCCCCCATTGGGGGGAGATGGGCAGGTGAGAAATTTAATAAATAAAAAAATAAATAAAATAAATAAACTGAAATTTGCAAAAACAAGCATCACCAAACTACTGTGTATATGTTGAATGTGACTGATTATCTCAGAGATTTCTCACAGAAACATGTAATCTCCTTTTCAAAACCTGTTTGGGGAGACCAACTAGGTTTTCCAGCTTTCTTTGCAGAAATGTGAGTATAATATTTGCATCACTAGAAGGCACTGACATGAGTACCGCTACGTTAGCTCGCATGTCATTCCTTCACCAGTAGCCATGACAATGCACTATTTGGATAACATGCTGTCTTGTCTAACTAAAAACACATTTATTTCTCAAACTGCAATAATGTGTTTTTTCACATCCAAATGATTTGCAGATAAATTTACCCATACATTCAAGTTGCTCTTTAAGAAACTATCATTTAGTATCCTTTTAAATAACAGTTTCAAAGTCTGTCCATATGGCATTACTTCAGAGCAAAGTTTCTTAACTATAAATCTTGGATGGGCCTATTTCTTATTGAGATGATTAACCTGTTTCTGGGCTCTAGCATTTTAGAGCTCACAAACTTCTTTCTCTCTCGTTCTCACACACTCGCATCTTTGCAAAGAAAGCCAGTGCAATTCTAGCTTTCTTTTTAACCACATCTTTACTTTCATTGTGATCTCTATAGGAATGTTATTGCTGCTGTTTCTTTCTGTTCTGGACTAGCAAAGAATCATGCCAATTCCTTCCCTTTATCAGAACAGTTACAGCCCAGGCCCCAGTGACTACAGTCCTTTTTTATTTGTGCATATAGAGAGCTAGACTGAGCAAAGAGAAACATCATAAAGTATAATATGTGTGGCTGCCTTCTGTTGGGCTGGCTGTAAGCTTTGAACAATTGTAATGTAGTTAAATGTATTTTTAGTTTTGCCCATTTTTGTGCAATAGTTGCTGCACATTAATTTTAAAGTGGAACTCATCTGGGATGGAGCTGGCCAGAAATATGAATTGACAAAAGAAAAACACACAAAAGCAGCAACTGTGCATGGGGAGGGGAAAAGGAGGCTCCCACTTGTTGCCAAAAGCCAAACTTGAACCTTTCCAGCAACTTGAAAAAGCCCTGAGGGCACGTCTGTTTGTAGTTGTTCATGCTCTACTACATGAAAGAGCCCTTTTCCTGATACTCTGCCAGCACAAAATGCTTTCTTCAACTAATCACCTTCTTGACATGACCAAAATGCTACAGCCCACTTCTCCGGATCAGCCAAAATAGCATTCTTTCTTAATCTTGGTTTTCTAACACCGGCTCGCTATTCTTTCCAGTGGCATGGAAGTGAGTTTCTGAGTAATATGTGGCCTTGCTTTACTCTGTTTTCACAATTTTAGCTCTATGTGAGCCAAACCCCAAAAGATTAAAAGGCCTGAGGCTGGAGTTCTCTATTTCTACTAACCTTAGCAAAAGCAGGTGTATGCCTTAACTTCTAACCACTAACAGCTCAACAAGTAATGCTCAGGTTTCATGCTACTATTTTTGTTCATGACAATATTCCTGGAGGTCAGGGGTTTTTTTGCTAATACAGTAGGCAAAATGAAGGAAGAACTTCTGTTTATACCCCTTATTCACTTTATCATAGTGCCCAAAAATTAAGCAACTTGGTGACGCAAGGTCCAACTCACTCTGGCAAATGAAAGAACTTATGGGGGCTGAAGTCTGGAGGGCAGATGTTTCCTTGGCCCCCAAATCAAACTGCTTTCAGAATTCTTGAGTTTACACGTCTTCACTTCTTTATATCTTGGGAATGATTTGCTGGATTAAAAATAAAAATGGCAGTCTGTGAATTACCATAACCACTCTGGGCAGCAAGCAATGTAGGAAATGGAAGAAGCCATTCAGTGAGAATAAATAAATAAATAAAAACAATAAAGGGGTATAGATTACTGGATCTTTTATGCTACCTTGATTTGGGCAAGGCTTTGTGTAAATATTTGTTCTTCTCTTCTGGCTCAGTCAAAGCACACATGCAAACATTCTCTGATAATTGGCTATGCTTTGGAAAATCCATCCATATGATTTTC